AGGACTACATATCCTTTAGATACAATATTAATTCACTTTTTTTTTTTTTTTTTGCTATGTTTGAGGTTGAACCCAGGGCTTTGTACATGCTAGGCAAGCACTCTGATACTGAACCACATCCCAGCCTTTAATTCACCTTGAAAGAATCAAGACCGACCGGGTGCCCTAGCACATACCTGTAAGCACAGCATTCTGGGAGGCTGAGGCAGAAGGACTGCAAATTGGAGCCCGGTCTAGGCAACTTAGTTGCAACAGCAAGCAGAAACACTGAAAGAAGGCCAGGATTTCGCAGACAGGTTTATTTACATCAGTGGGCTTATATGGGACAAGCAAGCAGGAAGTACAGAGGCAGACTGGCTTGTCAGCTGGGGGTTGGTTTATACAACATGCATCATAGTGACCAGCTTTGCATCCCAGTGACCAGCCCTTCCTAAGAGACAGGAGAGCCAGATCTGGAACAGGAGCTGTTACCTCGGCAACTGAGAAATGTCACATTTGTTGCCGCTGCCCCTCTTTTCCTTTCCCCTGACTTTCTTAGTTTCCCCAGCAAATCTTTGTGATCTTTTGAGACAAAGCCCAACTGGAAGCAGTAACATTAGGGTTGTCAGTGATCCTAGGATGGGCCCTAGCCAAGCTCTCTGAGACTGTCTTACTACAGACTCTTTCCCTAAATTGTTTTTAGGAAGAGACATAATTTAGGCCTGTCCTGTAACGTCACTCTGGCAAGGGAGTGAGGGAGTTAATCTGATCTAGGAGTGTGCAATATGCCTTGGACACTCACCAAATCGTGGTCAAATGTTTGATTGTTGTATTTTCCTGGGGCAACCGTCCATAAAATTTAGGGCAAAAAAAACACCCTAGCAGGGGATGGGGAAGCAAGGACTGAGGTAAGCAGAATCCAGGTCAGTTATCAAAAACCACAGCTGGCAGGAGGGCATGGAAGCAAGGATTGGGATAAGCACTCTGGAAAGACACAAACATCAAGGGGAATGGGTATGGAGCCATCTTGTGAACTGTGTCCTCAGGCTTCAGCTGTGCGTGGACTGGTCAGTGTCCAGGGTGACTTTGAGTGCGTCATCTCTTCAGAGTGAACTCTCTGGTCCAGGTAAATTTTCCAGTGGACCTAAGGCTGGATTTCTGAAACTTGCAGAGGTAGTTAGTATGCACCTGGGTCATATGTGTGTGGGTTATAAGCTGCTTTTTAAAACTTTTTTAGAGCTTTGTGGCCTGTATGCTGTATGTTGTTCTTATTTAATCTAGTTTTTGAGTTACCTCTGTACAAATGCAGGCCCATTGTCACTGCCAGTGATGCCGGGTAGGCCATATCCAGGGATGATTTTTTGCAGCAGGCCGGTGACGCAGATGCTGAAGCCTGAGTTGCTGCAGGAATCTGGGTGCCAGCACTGCAGCGTGAGCTTGCAGAACATAGGGTGGCGCAGGTCTGGTGGCTGGGATTGATGCTGCAGTCAGTCTGATCCCCAGAGGCGGCTTAGGCCTCTGGACCAGATTATTTTGCATTGTTGGTGGCAGGTTTCCAAACGGCAGCAAGAAGCAGTTTGCTGTGCAGAGCATCCCTGAAGGAGAGCTTTGGCCAAAATAGTTCTGTCCAAGGTGACCACAGCATATCTAGCTGGTCGAACTCCATTCCTGACAGAGCTTCTTCCATCCATAAACGGTATACTCAGTGTCTGTCAGGGGTGTTATTTTTTTAAGTCTGGTCGGCCAGTACAGCATGTGGCACTGGGACAGTTAGGTCCTGGCTTAAGGTGAGCTTGTCAGCTTTTTTGATCAG